ACCAACCCTCTCCCTGTCCCTCCCCATTTAACCTTCTACTCCTGGCTGTCTGTCCCTTTTCCACTTTCTTATCACAGGTGCTGAACTAATACCCTCCCTGCCCCTCTCCCTTCAAGCCTCCCTTTCCTCCTCTCATGGCCTTTTTCTTGTTTCCTACCATCTAACCACATGCACTCCTACAAAAATACACATATGCAAAAATTAGAAGCTAAGATCTGCATGTGAGAGAGAACATGTGTGGTTTTCTTTTTGAGCCTGGATTAATATATATTAATATTTAATATACTTCCCAGGTCGAGGGTGAGGCCTGATCTCTTGCATCGTATCAGGTAAGTCTCCTGGAGATGCTGTACTGCTGGTCCATGGACCACGCTGTGAAAACTGCAGCTCTAAAGGATGTCTCAAATGAACTGACTTTAGAATCAGAAAGGTTCTGATAAAATACACGGAAGCTCTGTAAAAAGAGTCGTTCATATACGCAGTGGAATGGCCAGTGACCTGAAGCAGGACCACTGTCCAGTCATGGGGGATGCTCAGGCCTGTGCTGGGAGGGGACACCAGGCGATCCCAGACCTCTCTCAGCTCAGAGGGCCTATGACTCCACTTGGCAGGAAGCTGTTTCCATTTCAGTAATATTCTTTCTCTTCAAAACACAAATTCAATTTCAAATAAGGTTCTAAACTTCAATGTAATGCTTTTGAAAATTGCTTTGTAATTCCAATCAAATTTCAAATACAGGTTGTGCCAGCAGTCTCCATGGGCAGCTCAGCCAGCGCTGATGGAGAAGTGACAGATCCACTGAAGCTTCCTGGTCCAGCAGGGTCACTACAGTGGTGCATCTGCTCCAGGTAGAACAACCTGACTCTTGTGCATTAAGAAAGAAAAATCAAACACAAGACATGAGTCCTTTATCTGAGTACCATGCCTGCTTAAAACGTCTCTTCATTTTTACCTAGAACATCGTGATCCACTCATTTATATTTTAACCAATTTATGGGACAGAAAAAGACAAGGTAACTGTCAACCAGACCAAAATTACACCCTTAGTTCCTTGAAATAGTCCTTCCATGTTTCACTGCAAGTGCTACAATTGTTTTTGAGATGTAATATTCCATGGCTGTGTGATGACCTGATTTTTACCATGGAACATCCAATTCTGTCCCATAAAAACTAAATTCCTAAAGTTGTACAAAGGTGAACCTCAAGTATTTTTTACTTTAATATCTTCATGTGCAATGTCCAATTTTTAATTGATTGACTAAGCCAACAAAGATTTTGGCCAAATCTTTTTGGTGGAGGGGGCAGAACATACAGTATGATTGGCCTTTCCTAAGCTATTAAGTTTCGTGTGATTTGTCTAAGCAGCATCTTCCAAGTCACCCAGTTAAGTTGAAAGGTGACACCTTCCTAATGTGATTTTCAGATTTAGTTCAGCATATTATTAGCTGGAGCACATCACCACTGGATTATGTGTGCTACATCCACTAAATTCTTTAAGTTTTTTTCTTAACTTTTTAATCTAAGCTTTCCATACTCTCAGTACTAAACCATTCGTCTTCATTACAGAATTATCCTCAGATACTTTCTAACACGCTTTAAAATCACCTATTCAGTTGTACCTGGAAGGTATTTTTTTTTTCAAAAAAATTGATTTATTTTTCTTTTATGTGTATGCCTGCATGCACTTAAGTGCACCTGTGTCATGCAATGCCTGTGGAGGACAGAAAAGGGTATTGGATCCCCTAGAACTGGAATTATGGATGGATGTTATCCACCATGTGGGTACTGGGATTCGAACCCAAGTCTTCTGCAAGAACAGTCAATGCTCTTAACCACTGAGTCATCTTCCCAGTCCCTGGAAGGTATTTCTGACAGGCTTTCTTATGAAACCAGTATCTTGAACATCTTTGCCTCTGTACCCAGGAGTCGTCTGACTGCAGTCAGTTCACGAGTCTTATCAGCATACTTCCGTCCTCACCCTTCTACAGTTGTGGGCAAACAGGAAGAAGGGAACTTCTTGGGCTAATAGCATGCCCCTAAATGTCTTTATAAACTTTCTTATTTGAACGGTTAGAGGACCAAGCTGAGGATGTGTGTCCTCTCTGGAGCAGACAAGGATGTGGACCATGTGATGATATAAAATGCTCCCTAGTCTCTGGGCCTGTGTGGCTTTGGCAAAGTTCTGACCTGAGGGATCATGGTGAGACAACACCTGATCTCTTAGGAGCAGCTGGGAGATGACAGTGCCTCCATCATTTTCCGTAAGAAGTTGAGCTCATGGTCAGGTTTTGTTAGAGCACTGACTGACGCTGGGGAACTTCCCTGAGGTCAAGTTCTGTGTTTAATCACCTCTGGATTTCCCCAGAACCTGGAGAGGTCTGAACACAGCAAGATTTTAGCACTTGGTTAACAAGTGGGGAATGAAAAATGCAGGCTTTCTGGATTGGCTAAGAAGCCAAAAATAAGAACACCCTCACCCTGACCTCCTTTATTTAGATCACATTGCTCATCTCAGCAGTGCTACCTACTGTAATGATCCTGTCCCTCATGAGCCTGGGCCTTCCTTGCTAAACCCCCAACAGGACTTGGTGTATAATGTCCCTTTATTATGATCACCTACTCTCCCAGGTTGCTGCTTAAATGACCCTGAAGTCTATGAGTACTCTGAAGGCCAGGATAGTGTTCTATAAACCCTCAGTGTATGCTGTGGCCAGGAGAGACTGCTTACAACAATGAATGTGTATTAAAAAGAAAGAAAGAAAAAAAAACCTTGTCACTGTTTTGAGAAGCAAACCAAATGTAGGAATTATTCATAAAAGAAGTCTCTGGCAAGAAAGACAGGCAGGTAACAGGAAAGTCAAGGTGGAACTTCTGGACCTGACAGCTATGAGGTGCTTTCTTTCATTGGTTTCTGATAAAAAGTGGACAGTCTAGGGCTAGAAAGAGTGCGTAGTCAATAAGTTGCTTGTGATACAAGCACAGGGATCTGAGTTTGATCCCCAAAGCGCACATTAAATGTTGGGAAACCCTGCTGTTAGGGTTGTAGTTCTCCATGTCCGGATAGCCCTAAGGGGCTCGGCGCCAAATGGAAGGACTCCCCTTTTCAGCAGGGGGCCTCCTGCTCTCTTCCTGGCTCACCTGGAAAGTGCCACCAAGCACGGATCTGAAACATGACCTTTGGCATAGCTACCTGGAGTAAAAACTACCCCCAGGTTTTTTCTATATGATAATCAGGCATTGCCTGATAGTCTGGAAGATAGGAGCCTACTACCACATGTAAATAAAGCATACTATGAGCACCTATCAACTGAGGCTTTTGCTACTGCCTCCACACTATAAATTCTCTAGTTCTCCCACTGAATAAATGGAGCTGTTTCACTGTGTCTGGGGCTGTATCTCTGCTGTTTCACTGCACCTGGGACCAGCTTCCCTGGAAGGGCTGTCTTTTGTCAGTGCTCACTGGCTGTCCTGACCCCGTTCGCCGCTTCTGCTCTCCCTGCCCTCATGGGCCGGTGGCCAATGACCCGCAAAGAGAGGGAGAGACCCCCGCAATTAAAAAAAAAAAATCCCCGTGGTACCAAATTGTAATTCTGGCACTGGGGAGGTGGAGGCTGGTGGATCCCCGGGACTTGCTGACCTGTCAGCCTATCTTGCAGTGAACTCTAGGTCAGGGAGAGACCCTGTCTCAAAAAACAAGGTGGATGGCCTAAGGCCATTATCCTCTGGCCTCCACACACAATGCATATACATACCTGCACACACATGCACGCGTGCACACACATACACACACACAGTCTATCAGACTACAGAACTAGAAAGCACTGCAGAAAGCAAGGAAGTGACGAACCAATGGTAAACGTTTCTAAAGCAGCAATTCCACCCGCCCTGGCCATTCCTGGTCCCTAGGAAGTGAGGAACCAATGGTAAACGTTTCTAAAGCAGCAGGGCGGAACGCCCGCCCTGGCCATTCCTGGTCCCTAGGAAGTGATGAACCAATGGTAAACATTTCTAAAGCAGCAATTCCGCCCGCCCTGGCCATTCCCGGTCCCTAGGAAGCATCAGCTTTGTTGGAGGAGGATTTTGAGGATGACCGGCTTTCCGATGGTCACTGCTGGATACCTGCTGTTACTGCTGGCTTGACTGTAAGATTGAACACTCACTATTTAAGACACCTGTGAGGCAAGTCATCTTGTTCTCTTCATTTGAAAGAGGAAACTGGGACCCAGAAGTTAAGCACCTGGCCTGAAGACACTCAACAGAGTGTCTGAGCCTGAGCTGATGCTCTCTTCCACCCGCTGAGAAGCCAAGAGTCTGAGTCTGACCAGGAGCCCGTGCTGGGCCACCCTTGATTATCCAGAGATGGCTCCTGCCCCTCTCTCAATGAGATGGTCTTGTTGACTGTAACCTTTTGGTTTTTCATGGGTTATGATGACTTGGAGACAGAGCTAAATGTTTTGAAGGCTTGAAGGGCCACATAACAGAAACAAGTGTGAGGAAGAGCAAGGTGAGGAACTCGTGGGGAGACTGCAGATGCCAGCCGAGTCTGTCTAGTGGGGTGTGAAGTCCTTTTCTCTGTCCCCTTGTGGGAGCCCGAGTGAAATCTCTCATATTAAATTCTCTGTGACCGTGAACCTGCTGTGGCAGAAATCAGAAGGATGGGGGTGTCCTGCTTTGAGGCGGGCAGGTACTCAGCTGACCACAGAGTGCAGTGAGATGAGTCACCATGAAAATATATGAAGAAGAAGCGATGACAAGAGCCCAGGAGAAAAAGTGATTTCAAGTAGTGGGTGGAATTCTCCTCAGAAGCTAGGAATCATGGGGATTTGTAACTGATTGGAGGTATAAAGCAACACAAATTTCTAAGCCTCATCTGCATTCAGAACTCTTATATACATTACAGGGAATGGCTGGAATGCACTGATTTGGCCTCTAAATTAGGAAGGACTTTTAGCCCTGGTGATGATGTGGACACAGTTTCATTCCCATTTTTTTGCACTTACCTGTATGTGGTTTCTGGAAGGAGGTCCTTCATCACGTGGGTGGTGGTATTGCGCACAGTGACACTAGTGTCTCCGAGGTCGATGTTGTAAGCAACGATTTCAGACCCATTATTGCACGGCTCTTCCCAGTTCAGTACAAGGCACACAGAGGATGAGTCCAGGTGCGTGCTGAGGGGCTCCTCCTCCAGGACACAGAGAGTGGCGACGGGATCGGGGGCAGAGGCTGGTGTCTGGCAATGGACAAACTCACTGTATGGCCCTGCGCCTGCTGGGTTGAAGGCCTGAAAAACAGAGTGGTCAAGATCACACCACACTGTCAGCATACTCTAACATGCATATTAACAACTGTTAAGAATGTGGGCCTGTGTGTACATATGTGTGTGTATGTGTATGTTTATATGTGTATGTGTGTGTATATGTGTGTGTGCTTATGTGTGTATATGTGTGTGTGTGTGTGTGTATATGCAGAGGCCAGAGGTCTTTCTTAATCGCTCTCCACCTTATTTTTTGAGACCTGGAGCTCTGTGATTCAAATAGACTTGCTGGCCCATGAGCTTAAATACACTTCCATTTCCACCTCCCCAGCATTGTGACCACACACAACCTTCTCTGTGCCTAGCTTTCTGTGTGGGTTTTGGGGATCTGAACTCAGGTTCACAATGATTATGCAGTGAGCACTTTAATGACTGAGCCATCTCTTCAGCTCAGGTAATCTTAGGTAGCATATTTTGGTGAAAGATACATAAAGGAGAAATAAATCCTAAACAACATTCAATTTAATTAGTGACAGTTTTCCAAAAGAACGCCAAGTACAAATCTTTCTCCATAATAAACCAAGAGAAAACATGGCCACCTTTACCGCTAATGAAATCACTTGAAAACACCACCACCCTTGGGAGTCTCACTTGGCTTACGAGGTTTGTTATCTGGTCTTCACAGTAACCCCCGAGGGCAACAGAGCAGAGGGAACTCAGTGTTCCCTTAATAACAGGGGTTTCAGGTTTGTAGACACCCATGGGGCTGGAATCCAGCTCATCTGATCTTTAAGACTACTGCTGCTCAGAAAACACAACAGGGATTTTAAAAAGGCCATCCGCTGTCTTCCATGTGAACAACAAAATCATATCTGAAGAAAATCTCCAGGGCCCATGTGACCTCCCTAGATGGCCACAGCTGATGTACTGAGCATGCCCAGCTCTTTCCAACACCTATCTGCTGGGTCTCAGGACCCCACACTGTTCTAAGTCTCTTCTTCACTCCCTGCTACTTGTCAGTACACTGCACTGGTCCTCCCAGGCCCCTGACCTCTCACTGAGCGTACACCATGGTGGCTCACCCCAGGACATGTCTTCTCCTAGAGCTCACCAAGTTTCTGAGATCTCATCCTGTCTGGGAACAAATGCCATTATCCTGTCCCTGATGCCCAGGCTGGTGTATGTGTACTCTGCTGCCTGTGAACATCTCTGTCTGAACATCAAGTAAGCATTACAGGCTCCTCAATTCCACCCCCTGCCTCCTTTACAGTCCCCTGTATCGCCTGTCATCTCCTCCATCCTTCCAGTTCCTCAAATTGCAGAGCTCCCTGGATACCTGTTCTCCCATACTGAAACTGATATCATGGCCACCAGTACAACCGATGTCACCCTAGCCCAACTGCACTCTCCCTGTTAATGTGGTGACCTCCTCTCTGGTATCTGCACTGGCCCTGCCCCATAGTCTGTATTCAGTCGTCAGAGAGACACTGTTCATTCAAGTCAGGCCTTTGAGTTTGAATCCCTTTGATGGGTGCCCACCTAACTCAGAATAAACATGGAAGTCCTTAAAGAAGCCAAAGATCCTATCTGACCTGCCAACCGTCTCCCCTGAAAATACCTGTTAGCATTTTGACTTCATCATCTGCTATTCTTGCTTTTGTTGGTTCTGGTAGCTTACTCACTGGTCGCAGAGATTCTGCATGTGCTCCCACCCGGGGCCTCAAACCTGCCGCTCCTTGTCTTCCTCTGCCAGCCTTCCCTGAGCATCCCATTTCAACTCGCAGTCACTCCTGACCCACCCTCTTTGATCCTTCCCTTTCTTCATTTGATTTTTCTTCATAACACTCATTACTAACGAAAAGTTCATTTATTTACTTTTCTGAAAATTACGTAAGTGCAAAGTTGCCTGTCTGGTTCAGAGTTACATTCCTAACAACTGCAACAGGACCTGAGTTTGAAGACACGTTCCCTTAAGTGTTATAGAAACAATTTCTTTTTCAGAGTAGAGTATTTGGCAAGCTTCTTAAAAGTGAGGAAACCCAGCTCTTAGTTACTCCTGAGAATGCATCAATAATTTCAAAACTAAAGGAAATGAATTTATAAAGGCCTAAAACAAAACTTACAGTTCCTTGCTTTACTAATTAAACAACAAAAACAATAAACTCCCACAAACAAAAAAGATATTTGTGGCTCAAGATATTTGTGGTTCATGTCAGATTCCTGCTGAACCTCTGGTAATCTTCTGTGACCATCCTTTTATAGGAATTTTAACTTCACAAACATATTTTAAGAGTCCGTATTTTGAGATTTAACTTAAATTTTCATTTGCAGTACTGAGGATTGAACTTAGGGCCTCACGCATGCTAGAGATTTATTTGGATGTAAATTTATCATGACAAAAATAAGACACTGAGAAAGCCAGTTCTCTCAGCAAAGGCTTCTGAGCCACCATGTAGCGAAAGGGAAGGAAGGCAGATTTTAGAGTTTGAGCTCAGTACAACAAGCATATCCTGAGCCTGTTTCCTCGGGGTCAGGTGGGGATGGTAACATGCAGCTCACAGAATGATGCTAAGACTGAGTTGTGGCAGGGTCACAGGCCAGCACGAGGCACCTAGCTCCCCACCAACTGGGAAAACCATGAACAAAACACCATGTCTCGAACTCTTTCAAAACTCCTTTTATTGTGAACTAATTTTAGACTTATAGAAGAGCCACAGGAACAGCAGAGAAATTCCTGCGACTCTCTCCTTCCAATGTTCATGCTTCACATGCCGAGAATGATCAGAGCAGGATAGATGACCGCTATCACTGTTCCGCATGCAAGCCCTGGCTCAGATCTCACCGCTTTTCCCAGCAAATGCTCCTTCCATTCCAGGATTCTACCCACTTTCTTTCACAGTCTTGCCCATATAGAAAACTCCTCTTTGATTTAATACCACTTCTAATTACCAGTTTCCAAAAGAAAAGCATCTTTTACTAAGTAATAGTACCTCTGATATATAAATACCTTTTACCAACAGAATTACTTTGGTCCTTCTTTTGTATATATGTGCCTGGGGGGTGGGTGGGGAGCTACTGAAGACTGATCTCAAGGCCTCAAGCACAGCAGGTAAGAGATTTACCATCAAGCTACGATATTTGTTAATTAAAATATCCCTAAAGAACAGGAAACAATTCAGAGTCCTGGTCCAACAAGAAATGTCTCACCCACTTTCTATTAAAAGTATAGCCGGGCGTGGTGGCACATTCTTTTAATCCCAGCACTCGGGAGGCAGAGGCAGGCAGATCTCTGTGAGTTCAAGGCCAGCCTGGTCTACATAGTGAGTTCCAGGCCAGCTGGGGCTACAGGGAGACCCTGTCTCAAAAAGACCCCCAAAAGTATAGTTATTAAAAAGATTTTGGGGGATATAAAATACTCAAAAGAATATTCAGGGTTAGCCTGACCATACAGTAACACCAAGTGGAATCATTTCTATGGGGTCCACAGATACTAAGAGACCAATAGGCCGAAGGAGACCTGCTCCTGGCCGCATTTCTTCAGCCCAGTGGTGGGGTTAGAAGTGGTGAGCATCGTGACATAGGGTCTGGCTTCCTCTACGATAAGCACAGACATTAAAAAGGATGGGGAGGAGCAGGATTGTTGAGCAGGGTCGATTCTGATGACTATGTCTTTTAACACAGAGTTTGGGGAAGCTGCCGGTGTTCAGTCATGACATGTGTCCTACAGGAAAAAGAGGAGCAGAGAATCTGTTAACAAGGCAGCAAAACTCCCAGGCACAGGGAGTAAAACTTCTTCTGGGCAGCAGACGCAGGCTCTGCATTTGTGTCCAGCCCTATTTCAAAAACAGAAATGTGGCACGTAGTTTACCCTTTCCCCGGTGACTCAGCAACACTGGGATAAAGATAATGTGTTGTGACAGAGTCATCAACAAAGGGTTAATGACATGCCAGGTGCTCCAAACAAGAAAAAAGGAAGGGTGGTACCCGACAAAAGAATCACAAACATTTAAATGAAGTAGGCTTCTGAACTTAACAAAAAAAAGCTCCAGTTGATCTGGAAAATTAATTTATAAGGGGGAGTGTTCTGTGAAGAGGCCAGGGGGTGTACTTCTAAGAAACCATTTGCTGTAAGACTGAACTCAGGTTGCCACCTATGTGTGGTATCTTTGTGTCTTTATCTATTGAAATCTGAACGTGTGTGGAGACAGACTGCCTCAAGGGCAGCAACCACATCCTGTGAACCTTTCTATCTCCCTGATCATCCTTCTACCCCAAACAAGTTTTCAAAAAATGTTGCTGGATAAATGGGAAGAAATAGAGACTAAGGACCCCATAGCTTCAGGACACTGAGGATTTAGAAAGAGAAAAACCAAGTACCCAATGAATAAAGTAAAGTAAGCCCTGATTACTGATATTCTTGGGGGTTGGGCTATGAACAGAGCAGCCTCCTGACAATACTCTGTTTATGCTCCAATGTGGAAGCTTAAAGGTAACCGGCCTTAAATCTGATCACTGGGAAGTGGGGTCCTAAAATCCAAGGCAGGTATGATGGTCAGTATGGTCAACTTCAAAGACTAGAACCACTTGGGAGAAGGCCTCTGAGGTGCCTGTGGTGGAGACTGTCTTGGCTGCGTTAACTGAGGTGCGAAGGCCCACTCACGTGGGTGGCACCATCCCCTGGCTGGGATCCTGAACTAGCCAAGTGGAAGAGGGAACTGAATGGCAACACGCACACGTCACTCTGCTTTCTGACTGTGGATGTGATGTGACCAGCTGCTTCAAGATCCTGCCATTCTGCCCTCCCCACTATGATGGACTGTACCCTTGAACTATGAGCCAGAATAAACCTTTCTGCCTTAAGTAGCTTCTGTTACTGGCTTTTATCACAGTAACAAGAAAGGCACTAAGGCAGCAGACTGGTTCAAACACCTGCTTTCGGCTCCGTTTAACAGCTGGCATACGAACGTCCTGTCTGTGTGCCAGTTCTAAGTGGCTTTCCCCTGGAGGTGGAATAGAATGCATCTTTCCTAAAGAACTGGACACCTTCTCCTTGGACTAGGTCACTTATCGAATGATCAAGCAAGACGCAAGATGCTACAATTGAGAAGAGAATTCTTACATGTTAGGACCTCACAGATGATCAGAAAGCAACAGTAAAACACCTAAGCAAGGACTCTGTGTGTGTAGGGGGTAGACGTGCTCATCCGTGTGTGTGTGTGTGTGTGTGTGTGTGCATGTGCGCATGTGTGTGTGTGTGCACGCGTGCGCGTGTGTGTGTGTGCACACGCATGGTGTGTAGGACAAAGGTCAACGTCATGTATCTTCGTCTGCTGCTCACTGAACCTAGAGCTCACCATTTTGCCTATTTGTTTGCCACCCCCCGCCCCGCCCCAGGATCCACTTATATCTATTCCCTGCCCTCGACACTCGGGTTACAAACACACACTGCAGCACCTGACTTTTATGGGTGCTGGAGATCAAAACTCAGGTCCTCATGCTTGTGTGACATGTATTTTACCAAGTGAGCTATTTGCCCAGCCCCAAAACATTTATTTTCATTTAAAAGGATTCTTTTTCCTGGCGCTCCCTCCGCCATAGCCTTTCTCTGGTTTCCTGCACTGACTCTCAGGGAAGACCTGCCATGGAGATTCATGTTTGAACACTGCCCACCTACCTGTAGTCTACAGCAGTACTGTGCAGCAGGCAATAGATCTCGTATCTCAAAGCAGGTGTCTGAACCATGATAAATGAGTTCTAAGGAGTCTTCATCTTCTCCCCATTCCAACCTGTACTCAGAGATGTCGGCACCGGAGCTTTCCGGACTCTGCAGAGCAGAAGTTCTGTTAGTCATGTCACTGAGAAAGAAGCCTTTGGTACAGCTGACCTGGGGAGGAGGACAACACGTTCCAGGGTATTCAAACATGTATAAAGGAAAGGCAAGGAGACTCTCAGGGACTCCCATTTCCACAACTGTAAGTGGTCAGCCATGTGCCAAGGAGATTTCTATATACTCTGACAAAAAGTCATCCACAGTCACGTGCTGGCCTGTGCATTTCTTTTAGCTCATACTTGGGAATAAAGTACAAGATGCAACAGAAACTGATGTATAGCATGTACTGAACTCACCTCCCAACCCACCAGAACACATCCATCAGGCGTGAAGGAAATACATGGTGCTCTGCACTGCCCAGGGGGCCCTGCAGCAGTGGTGATTTCTGACACGTCAGAATAGGGACCATACTGAAAGAGAAGAGCACACATGTGCTTGCATGTGAGGATGGTTTGTGCATGCATGTGCATATAAAGGCTTATAATTAAAGGTGAAGCTAACATTACCATTAAGATAACCAATTAACTCTTCATCTTAAGAAGTATATGGATAAACTGTTCTTTCCCTGATAGGTGAATGTTTATCATATGTGTTTATTTTTATTCAAGAGGCCTAGAATGTTGGCTCGCTGAACACTTTTCACTTAACGCAACACTGGAAGCAAAAATTATTCAGTCAAGAAAATGTCAGGTGTATACTGCAGTTTATTTTAAAATGCATAAAAATCTATTTGGAATCACCGGTTATCAAACTTTTGGTATTTCTTCTGACTTCTCTCTTTCTTTTCGTTCCTTCCCTTGTTTCCTTCCTTCCTTCCAAAATATTTTATTTACCATTTTTATTTTATGTGTCTGCATGTATGTGTGTGCACCTGTGTCGTGCAATGCTGTGGAGGTCAGAAGAGGGCTTTGGATTCCCCTGGATCTGGATTTAAGGACGGTTCGTGGCCGCCATGTGGGTGCTGGGAATCGAATCCGGATCCTCTCCAAGAGCAGTCAGTGCTCTTACCAGCTGAGCCATCTCTCCAATCCCTCTTCTTCTTTTTCTTCTTCTTTTTTTTTTAAAAAAAGAGTCTCATTGTAGCCCTAGCTGGCCTGGAACTTGCTATTTAAATCAGACTGGCCTTGATCTCACAGAGATTCATCTGCTTCCCAAGTGCTGGGATTAAAGGAGTGTGCCACCACACTGAGCTGTTCTTTGAAACAAGATCTCCTTATGTAGCCCAGGTTAGCCTTGGACCCATGCTGCTCCTGCCTCAGCCTCCTGAGTGCTGGGATTTTCAGGTGTGCTCTACCATGACCAACTTGTTATTGGCATTTTCCATTCAGAAGACCCTCATTGCTGTGGGTGTCTCAGGGCATCCTCAGTGTCTCCCCACTTCAGAGGCTCGCATGATGCATATGTTTTCTTTATATCATTGTCCATGATCAACATACTGTCAACAGATGGAAGAGCCAGAGACTTGTACAGTTTTCAGAGGAATCAAAACAAAAAGAAGTAAGCTGGCCTCTTCTTTGAACTCTAGCCTACTTTTCAAAAGTAAATCAACCCAAGACACTACTGGTTCATATGGACAATATGCTATAGAACTTTTTTAGGGGTGTGTGTGTTTATGTGTGTCTGAGTACGAGTATTCCTGTGTGTACAGGTACATGTGTGTGCAGGCCAGAAAACAACCTTTGTTTCTCAGCCCCTCCTCACATTTTTTGAGACAGGGTCTCTCACCGGCCTGGACCTCACCAAGTAGACTAGGCTGGCCAGCAGCACCAGGGATCCTTCTGTCTCCATCCCCCAGCACTGAGGTTACAAATGTGCTCACCGTGTCTAGAGTTAATGTGGACTCTGGGGATTAAACCCAGGTCCTCATGCTTGTACAGCATGTTCCTGACTGAGTGAGCTCCCTGGTCTCCCTATAGAACTTTCATTAGGACTATTAAGAAGTCCTAATTTCTCACAACTGATAAAGTTAGTGAGAGAATAGGAAATTACTCTATGAATTATCAAAAGCATGTGCATACAAGATGATGGTCTTACTAACCCTGAACATGATCTTACTAGAAAGATTAGATCAAAGACACAGAAACATAGTGTCGGTCTATAGAAATCACAACACTATTGATTCTGAAATAAGACCTTACGGATACTTCTTTAACAATGGTCACAGCTAACTGATGCTACCCAGGGACACCAGGTGGGCACAGTCGCACCTTATATTCTGTGGTGCGCAAGCTCACACTCACCCCTCCGTCGTTCAGAGCCCTCACTCTGAAGCGATACACAGTTCCAGGAAGCAGGTTGCCTACAGTGCACTCCAGCTCAGGCCCGTGGTATACCTCTGAGGCTACATCCTCAGGTTCAGTCATCTCCACGCTGTACTCTGAAACCTCACAGCCACTTTCAGACGCAGGGACATCTGGGGATGTAGAAATTTGTCCATCTTTGAACATTTCTTGTGCTTCTGGTTGACCAAGTTGTGCTTGCTTTTCTACAGTTTTTGCAAAATATGTAGGTCGTCTATCCTTGAGTTTCTGTTACAAAAGGAACCCCTCCCCCAACTTGATGAAAAAGCTCATGAATAATGTAT